AACTGACTTGTCTCATAGGAAGCGTACTGAGTTAGACCTTGAAACTTCACTTGGTAAATCATCAAAACATATATTTTAGCTCTGCGATGCTTACACTTAGAATTGTCAAAGGTAAATTTAGTGTGATATTTTAACGCAAGTGATTGCAACTATAATGTTAGATGTTTGTTATAGATCCAGCGCCATTTTGCACGTTGATATTGCTCAGACTTCCGATTCCTTCAAAGGGAAGCGTTCCGAGTTCGACCTTGAAACTTTACTTAGTAAATCTTTAAGACCTATATTTTAGCTCTGCAATGCTTAATTGTTAAAAACTGACATACCAGGAACATTTTTATCCTGATGAATATTAGCTACATTTTGCCGCCATCGAAAGCGGTCTCCGAAGATGTTTNGAAACTGTTTTAATAGGTCTGAGAAGCCGAATGTGTTTATTGCAACCTAATCTAAAACGACTTGTGAATTTCAAACGAAAGAAGATATCGAAAGTGCCCTTCTGATCGAGTAACGGGACGAGAAACCTGTTTTTTAATGTTTGTTGACAAGCGCTGATACTTCTTTGTAGTGAACTTTACGCGTTAATACTACAAAGTTAACTGACTTGTCTCATAGGAAGCGTACTGAGTTAGACCTTGAAACTTCACTTGGTAAATCATCAAAACATATATTTTAGCTCTGCGATGCTTACACTTAGAATTGTCAAAGGTAAATTTAGTGTGATATTTTAACGCAAGTGATTGCAACTATAATGTTAGATGTTTGTTATAGATCCAGCGCCATTTTGCACGTTGATATTGCTCAGACTTCCGATTCCTTCAAAGGGAAGCGTTCCGAGTTCGACCTTGAAACTTTACTTAGTAAATCTTTAAGACCTATATTTTAGCTCTGCAATGCTTAATTGTTAAAAACTGACATACCAGGAACATTTTTATCCTGATGAATATTAGCTACATTTTGCCGCCATCGAAAGCGGTCTCCGAAGATGTTTTCTAAATGGCCTGAAAACCATTGTATTATCATATTTGAAAAGATTAAAACATTGGTAGTGTAGAAGATTAATTGCTTTGAAATTCTTTTTATTTTGAGGTCAACTGATTTCATTTTAAGACTTCGGCGGAGGTTTATAATCGCACCTTTTAATGAACCAAAAAACCGCACTTTGACCGCATTTTGACCGCAAATTTCCCAAATAAACAAAACCGTTGGAACTTTTGAATATGATTTTTGAAAACAGTCTACCCAAGGCTAACTTTGGGCAAAATATCAGGGATTCGCCAAATGGGTCGCTGACCGCCGATTCTCCATCTTTAGAGACAGCCACTCTTTAGGCACCGTTAACCGAGAAGACCTGGGGACGAGGTTGAGTTGTTTTGGTTTTGAACTTGAAAAATGGCGGACATTTAACTCGTTTCAAGAGTAAGAACTGGGCGAAAAAATAGCTAAAAACATGGCAAGAACAGCAAGAAGACAACTCGAAGGGCGACATCTGCTATTTGGAGAACATTTGCGAAGCTGGACAAAGCTAAACGTGCACCATCGAAGATGAACTTAACATCGATGGATCGATGGAGGTAAGCACGTTTTAGCCATGTTTTTAACTAGGAATTATTTTGAATGAATAATAAAACAATTATTGAATTCGGCTTTCGTATCATGAAGAATTATGGAGATCTCGGAGGGTGTTATCCGCCTCGGCCTACGGCCTCGACGGATAACAACCTCTTCGATCTCCATAATTCTTCATAAGATACTCAGCCTCATTCATTAATTGTTAAATATATGGTAAGTTCGTTCTCAATAATTTCCGCTTTATTATATATAGGGTAACAATTATTGCAGTTTTGAAATAATGCCAGAGGTTCCACCGGACGTTCTGTCACTAGCTGCGTCATTCGTAGGCCTGGCGATTGTAGCATTAGTTAGGAAGGGAAAATATTGGAAAGGAGAAAGGACTCCAGGTACATTAGTTATGACCCTTTGTAATTTTCTTATGGTTCCAATATTTTGTTAAGATTATTTTATCTTACCTTGTTTCTACTCTTCCTAATCTACCAATAATGGCCTTTTTTATTTTGTAGTGAAATAGAATTGGAATTTTTAGTGTTAACGGTTATTTCTGGTTTAATTCTTTGTGCATGTTTAGTTCTATGCAAACCCTCATGTGCTATCGGAGTCATGTGATAGTAGGTGGTGCAGAGATTTTGTCGTTTGGAGGTTATTTCCTTGCTAGCGAGAAAATGGCAAAACTGAACAAAATGGATTAAGTTGTGTTGACACGGTTCACCGTCATCTTTCTTTTTCTTTTGTTCTCAAAGTGTTTCCAAAAGTTTTTGTTTTTTACTCTTGATAGAATTAGTTGTAGCTATGAATGGGAAGAATCTTAATTTTATCACTTTTTAAGATTGAAAGAAGTCATTGGTTTTTGGCCGAATTAAAAAAAGAAGTATTTTTATCTTAGCTTCAGCTACACCTGGTCCTCGAAAAGTTCAAATCCCGTTACCGTCTGGTGAGCTATTAGAAACTGAGGTTTTGTACGTGGATGAAAGAAGTGAACCTAAAGATAAAGGATGTCTTGCAAACACATACGAAGAGGCTCGTGACCTTGTCTTTAAAAAATTAGAATCAGATCCTGAAGAATTGGACTACCTGATCGATAAACTGTTTCAGATCTCTTTGGAAAAAAGAGGTTAGAGCAGCGGTAATGAAACACATAATCAAATAATTAAAAGCTTTTTCGTAAAATAGAAACTCAATACTAACTGCTAATAGGCAGCCTGTTACCCTTTTCTTACTGGAATAAAGGCAGCAAAGCTTTGACTACTAAACGAATTACTATTACGAAACTTTGGTTAAAACGTGAATGGAACGCTGACTTAAACGGAATTTTTCGTAGGACGTGTACATAACCATGTAACGCCATTTTTGAGATTTCTCGCTTCCAGTTCCACTTCACTAAGAAGTACAAACATTTCGGTTGAAAAAATAAATTGAACAAATGAGCTTGTAATCTAACAGATAACTATCGTAATTATAAATCTTGATCTTAGTCAGCTATTGCCATGGGTATGTTCTACTGTCTATTTTGTTTAGTCACCATCATGAATACTAGGATATTAAGCGTGCCTTAGCAAATGCAATTCATACAAGATGGTCTTGGAATGCATCCCAAGAATTAGTTGGAAAATGCATTTCTTTCTATCTTCGGTCGTCACCCAGCCTCGTTCCCAGTCGTCCTTGGCGATTTCGGATGTTAAGTGACGTCACTTGGTAAAGCTCCTCGGAAGAATTCGCCTAGGACGCTCTTTAAAGCTTCCTCCTCCTGCTTGGATAGCGCGAACTGGCCTGGGGATGAGGCTGGTGGTCACCAACTTTTCTATTTTTTCGGAATATTTAAAAACGTATTTGATCTTTCTTGTAGGATCCAGAGAGCCAGTGGAAGTGTTCCTGCCCTTACTTTATAAAGCAGCAGAATGTGGTGCTCAACAGTTTATTGAGAAGATATTTGACTTACCAACTGCAAGAATAATCTTCAACAGAAGCAAACACAAGTTTGAATTACTGGAAGGCATCGCCAGGAATCATGGCCACGAGCAAACAGCCCTTTACTTTCAAAAGATAACTACGAGGTATAATCTACTTGCCTTTTTTGCAACGAAAAGGAAATTCGCACGCCTAAAACACCCTAATACATTTGCATCTAATGAGAGTTCAAGCAGTTGTGAATTTGCCAGTGCTTGTTATGAAATTTCTAAACCTTCAATCAATCGTTCAATTCTCACAAAGTGTTCACAAAGCCCGGGCAATAATGTTGGGAGTTGCTGCGTCCGTTTTCACGTTTTCACGTAGCTTTATATACCTCAGCTGTTGCATTTTTCGTTACTGCTACAAAGTGACCCATATACCCGTAAATAAAAAAATAAAAAAATGCATCTGATTACAACCCCCCCCCCCCCACTCCAATTATATTTATTTCTGTTTTATGGTACGCTTTAAAACAGTAAAATCAAAGAATAATTTTATGAACCCCTCCATAACTTGTCTCGCAGCACCTTTTTCTTTTCCCAATATTAAACCTCCCACGCAATTTTAAATAAACACTTAAGACATTTTTTAAATTTCCAAACTGTTTACAAAGACCCGGGAAAAATGTTGGGGGTTGCTGCGTTCCTTTTTATGTTTTTACGTGATTTTTTATACCCCAAAGTTGTCATTTTTTTTTTTATTGCAAAAAGGTACCCAAAACCCCAAAAAAAAAAAAAAAAAAAAAAGGACTTGTTATAAACCCCCCCCCCCCCCATTCAAATTGTATTGTATTCGATTTAATGTGACGTTTTAAACCAGTAAATGCAAAGCATATTTTGATCAGCACTGCTATAGCTTGTCTCGAAGCACTTTTTCCGTTTCCGCATATTAAAGCCACCTCGGATTTTATAAGTCCCTCCGCTTGTATGCCCTCCTGAAAGCCCCTTACGGATATGTATATGCCGAGGGTTTATAAGCGGCAGTTTACGATGTATTAAGAATAATATTAGTTCTTGCAATGTAGGCTTATGGTATTCATAATGATCATAAAAACGTTTGTTGCTTACATTATGTAAAAGATTTGGTCTTCATGGCCATACTTTTACCACACTGTAGATTCTATGAAGACATTACGGAACAAGGTCCGGAAGTAATTGATTGTTCAGAATTTCTTAATGAGCCCGACGAGCTTGATGAAGCCAGTAAGTACCGCCATGTAACGTTTTATTTTCCTAGTACTGATTATAAAGAAATTAAAATAATCATGTGTATCAACACCTTAGAAAAATAACTAATCGCCAGAAGCTTGGAAGTAGCTTGTCACTTTCCTAATCCAACCAGTCAGTGCGAGCGACTGTTTGAAAAAAGATCTTAATGTGGAGAATCAATCGATAAAAGAAAATTTTAGAGAAATGAAAAGCTCATTTATTACCTTTTTATTGATTTTTTTTTGTGCAAAAGGTGATGCCGCTATAGGTAAAGAAGAAAGCCGTCAATATGAAGGAAGTAAAGACAGCGACAACAGCTGCTATGGAGATGTCGAGTCACTGTCCTCAGATTCTTTCGAGCAAACGTCGGATTCTGAAGGCGACCGCTCAGAAATGTTCAGTAAAGGTAATGTATGTAACTTACTAAAATTTTCCAATATGATGACGATGATAAAAATAATACAGTTGAAAAGTTTGAGCCCGAATCGTGAGAATTGTTAGCCTGTGTCGCAGACGCTCTACTTAACCTTCTGCTAAGACGATGCGTGGGTCGGCTGCAACGCAGACTAGAGAATTGACTGACTTGACCAACACATAATCGAAATACTACCGAAACGGGTAGACCGCGAATTCAAAGACATGCGTGACAGTTGATTTTGGCGCCAGGCGTTAACGACTTAGGTCACGTGGCTTTGTTGTCAAACCAAAAAGGTGAACTCGCGTGGTGACATTCTATCTCATTGCTGGCTTTGTCGTTCGTCGATGAGAGTGTTCAGAGTTAATATAAAGCACTAGAAGGCTGAAACCGAGAGAAAGTTTCATCGATTGACTTTCTCCAAACGAAACTTTTCTCCTTTTTTGGTTGAAATAGAACACCATTACTTCACTGGGCCTATCTTTCAGGGCTTCAAGTGTCCCTATATTTCCTATATTTTTAAACTTACCCTATATTTCCCTATTTAGTTTGTAAATGCCTTATAATCCCTATAATTCCATCAGAAAATACAAATAGACTGAAGTTCACGAACTTCTGTTGGTGGAATGTGACAAAGAAAGTGAATTTTTCGGACCATCCAAGACCAAACTGGTAATAAGTTTATTATTAGTGCATGTAAGTGTACTTAATTTGATGCTGCTGAGATCAGTTATTCTTTATTCAGATATTGTTCAGATCTTAGAAGGAGTATGCCGAGAAGATGTGGCAGCTTTGTGTGCACTCGTTTTTCAAATGGAAGGGATCGATCAATAATTGGTTGCTTTTAAAGTAGCCAGTAGGAAAATAAGAATTTCCAATCTGTGATGGGGTATCTCTAATAATGTGCAAGGTTAAAGCTCAGTCTGACAGAACGACTGTACCATTCTCAAGACTAATGTTGCTCCTTTCATAATTGCAACGGAAGACAAAACCAATGCTGCAAATGATAAGGTTCACGTGGAGAACCAGAACCGTGGTCTTGCCTGATCAGAAAGTGGCCCTTTTGATTAACCGAATATTCGCAAGCAAAAGGAATTACATATAAAGACACTGTGCTCCACTCCAAAGATTTGCCTTGTCCACAAAAAAGTGGAGGGTATCAGTCGTCAAGTACAATTCTCCATACTTGGTTTGTTGGTGTAGCTTCGAGTTTAAGCTATGATTCCTTCTTTTAAGTATGGATCTGTAGATCACTCTTCATGAGAATTCTACATCTTGCAAACATCTCTAAAACTCTGGGTCCAGCCCAACAAAACATAGCAGGGAGTCATTGCTTAAAGGGACAAAACAACTCTACATTCAAGCATTTGGAACAAACTATAGAAACTAAAACCTTCATCAAAAGGTTATTGAGTTGCAGTATCAAGGTTAACGCTTTAAAAGTGGTCACATTCTGTCAGAAACAAAAACCACCAGAAATCAGTAGGTTTAAAACAAACCAGCTTCATGCCCTCTCAATGTGAGAAAAACTCCACAGCATGAGCTACCCACCAGAAAATAAAAAGGGTTTTAAACATGAGGTTAAAGTTGTATAGGCATACCAATATTTCACGTTTCACCTAGAAAGAATTCTAACAGTTGCAAATAATCACAATAACCGTACTTCTTTAGGGTCATTGTGTGTATTAATCTAGGTGCATTTTTTTGCGTGCTCAAAGTTAGTGACCTTATTCTCTACTAGTGTTCACAATGTTGGACTAAAATGTATTGTGTTCCTTACCTTCTGCAGAGTTGCAAAACTGGCACTGGATAAAATACGCGTTAAAAAATCCCTATATTTTCCCTATTATTTTACCATTTTTCCTATATTGGCCCTATATTTTTGAAAAATTCCCCCTATATTAAGCCCTATATTTTTGCTTAAGGCCACTTGAAGCCCTGATCTTTGGCCCACCAAACACTCAGGAATGTGACCACGTGAGTTTACCTCTTTAGTTTGGCAAGCAGAGTCACGTGGCTTGAATCTTTAACGTCAGGCGCCAAAATTAACTGTCACCTCTGAATTCGCGTCTACCCGTTTCGGTAGTACCAGCTTTTCAACCTTTTTACGGTGGACGTAAGTTCAAATAATCAATGATAAAAGTAGTCGAATTTGTGTATTCGAGTGTAATAGTTTACACGAACATATTAAAAGCTGAAAAAAAAAACGACCAATGGGGCCTCATACGAAAATCGAAGAAGAAAGAAAAACAAAAATCATCGCGAATCCTTAAGAAACTGATCACCTCAGGAAGAAAACTTTTGTTGATTCCTTGCAGTTGACTCTAGTTTGAAAGCCGGATGGCGATATTAAAAAAAAAAAATTAAGAATATACTGATTACTGTTTATGTGCACTGTGTACTATGTGCTACATGCTTTCTTTTCATTACCATTGAGACCACTTCGTAAGCACATTCTAAAACAATTAGTGTTTTCAATAGTGACTTGAAGAATGTTTAACTCGATCTCAAAACATTATTTTATATTATATATATTTCTGGAGTTGAGGCAAAGCGAATTGTATATTCTATTTTTTATTTCAAACCCTCTTTTTTGATGTAGAAAAAAATAGGAACAAGGTGTTTGTTTATGGGCGAAAAGAGAGTCCAAATGAGTGTCACTTTTGAGAACTTTGCACTGAACACTGTTCGTTTGTTTGTTTTGTTTTGTTTTGTTTTGTTTTGTTTTTTTTTCCTTAATATAGAAAACAAAAAAGACACGCATTCTTGGGTAAATAAAGACGATATTGTGCTAGAAGAGAGAGTTAACGAGGATCGAACTTCACAGTTCAGAAACAGACTCGTCACAGTATTGAGAGGTTGCCTAATGTCCGTTAAGGAAGTAAATGGCAAAGGAAGATGCGACAAAATCCAACGACTTTGGAAAGAAAGTCATGCTTTTAAAATTAATGCGCACATTCTTAGTACACCTGCCGAGGATATACCACGTCATCTAAGCACAATGCACGAAAGGTGGATTACTCAATTACAATTCAACCAGTATCCAGCAGAAAATACTCAACAGTGGCTTTCCGTGATCCTCCAAAGGATGCTGCTTGACCCAGATGAAGGTGGTTCAATCAGTTTGAATCAGCCAGCTGTTACTTCCGAAAGCAACTCTGTTCAAGGTGATAACAGTTAGGTTATGTTCTCATTATATAGTCTTTATTATATCATCCGCGTAGATTTGTATTTTTTTCTGTTCTTGCTATGTTTTCAGTCAGGCAATTTCTCCGTCGCAAAACCCGGGAAATTTTAATGTAAAACGTCGCACATTTGATAAAAGCTTCAAACAGTACCCTGTATAAAAATCTAGGATTCAGAAATCATGCATCTTGAAGCTTACGTTTTCTGCATGTGAACAAGAGGATTGTTGTGTTTATTTCGTGCCAAAAACAACTGCGTTTATTTTATTGACAATTTGATTGACCGGAGTTTAGCTGTTAGTAATCATAATATACATGAAAGGCTACCTTTGAAATAGTAATGGCTACACTAGGTTGTGCTTTGCGTGATGTGCATTGAATCCCGGTATCAATTCTGGTGGTCGTAAGTATTGTCTTTGTGTTCAGAACTAGACTTGCCCTACACTGGTGATGCCACATCTGTAAATGAAGTCTCAACAATGAGAAGAAAATCACTTGATCAAGCATTGAATCCCTGTAACTGTACAACTTTTGAAGTCTGGGTACTGACTTGCTTGTACCCCCCAACAAGGAAGGCTGTTTTCATTTACGTGAGTTTTTCAAAGCTTCTATAATGTACTTATTAGTTATTTATAGATGACGTGCGTTCGAGGAGGCCGGACACGCGATAGTTGGATCGTGATATTTTTTTCCACTTTTTGGTACCGAAACCGTTCGAAACCTTTAAATGGCACAGGTAGAAGCCCTGAAAAGAGATAATGATAGTTTAAATTCTTTAAGGAAACAGAATTAAAGTTGACTTAAGGTATCATCCACCCTCAAGCACCCTCCTCGCGTTGATCGGCGCCAGCGCTTTTGCTTTTAACAAATACCCCCATAAACCGTACGTTTTCTGAAAGTTTAATAGTTCCAGATTAGTGCTCATTTTTTTAAAAAAAATCAAACTATTAACGCGATTTAGAAATGAGAAGCTTTTTGTGAAAGTGGGTGTCACTGTAAATTTAAGTCCAGTCCAGCCACAAAATAAGGGAAGAAGCCAATTAAGAACGCATTCGCTTCTTAACACGTTTGACTAAAAAACCGTGTCTCAGATTTTTGTCAAGTGCGTTTGTTCTGTTGTTATAAGCAGGTGAAGTTAGGGATAGCAAATCATTGGCACTACCTGTGAAAAAAATACTGGAAGTCGAAAACGAAGAAAGAAATCAAAATTCGCTCTCGAACTCGTGGAACTCGATTCCGCGGTAGTTTCAATGGTTTTTTTAGGAGCTTTGTTATCTTTTTGCCATTTTTCTTGATTGCAGTAGGAGCCCTTGTCGCTCTCTGCTAATTTCGAAGCCCACTCTTTGGCGGCAAAACGATTTTGTCGTCTTCTTTTGTCTTGGAGTCGAGGACGAAAACGGACAAGCTCTTTTTTCTTCTTTGGAGGCATTCACTTTCGAACTCCAGGGAAAAACAGTGAGCACTATACTTGTAAACCACGATTTCTGTCAAATTGCGTGATTAGCTTGGTTCTACAGCGGCACGCGTATCAAGTATGACAGGACTTGTCAACGATCAATTAAAATAATTAGCATACAAAAAACTTTTGCACTCCATAAGTCTGCACAGAAAAAACATTTTTTTTTAAAAGAAAGCTCTTGATGAGCTCTATCTAATCGTCTAAAAATTGCAAATTTAGAAAAATGATTATTTTTTTTACCCTGGATGATACCTTAAAAGAGTTAAGAGTGCCTCAAGGCAAAACTTAAATCACCTGTCGTCGATAACCAAGAACAAGAACATGGTGTACAGTTCCAAAGTCACGAGTACGATGACCTTGCGGCCACAAATAAGAAGACAAGATAGAGCGTTTATTATGCAAACTTGAGAATTCATCCCGTCTCGAATAACTAAAAAACTCACTTTTTGGATATGGTGTCGTATATGGAACGTTTTACCGCAGAATATCAGAAAATCAAAGAGTAAAAAAATATTGACAGAAAAAAAGTACACGCAGTGTTCATCAATGTCCTGAAGTCTGAAAACTCGCACCCTTCAACATCTTCTATTATTGATCTAGTGAAAAACATTTAACATTGTTCAACTAAAATAACCTTGTTGCTTAATACTTAATCAGCTCTAACTTCCCGTATTTCGCGCTATATAATTATGTAAGTGTAACTTGATGGTATCTCTTGTATTTTTGCGTGTATCTTAAGTTCTTGTATCTCGCGCCATATATGTAAGTGTAACTTTGTTATCTATTGTATTTGGTACCATATAACTTGGTCTATTTACCCGCCTCCGTTAGCTATTGCTACTTGCAGGTAGATCCTTTTCCAGTTTTAATTCATGCCATAATAAAATTTCAGTCAGCAATGTAAACTACCAATGGAGCGATGTGAAAAACATATATTCACTTTTTTTTTATATTTTTTTTACCGATGCAATCAATTAATACCTAACTTCTAGCTAAAAGCATGTAGTTTCCACAGCTGAAACAAATCGTGTTTATGAAATGGGACACATGTAAACAACTAATCATTTAAAAATGGACACCTATACTGCTCAAAGAAAAAAACATTGCGATGGTTTGAGAATTTCAAAATGCACAAGAAACAAACAACACTATATCTTCACAATATCACACACAAAAAAATCCGCAAATGCCAACTGTTTTATTTTTAAGGTTGCGGACAGAAAGGGCGTTTTCCCTCCCGAATCGTGGTTTGAAGATGAAGATTGTGAACTTATGATTAAAGGCTTGAACTGTCAGCGATGGAGAGACAATTTAGTAACAGATAAAGGAAAGAGGATGCAGGAGCAGCCAGGTATTTGAAAGTGGTTATAATTATTAGGTTTTTTTGTGTAATTTTAAGTTTTGTTATGGTGGGGTTTATGTTCATTACCCGTGATTTCATGACTCACACATGCACATCGAGGACATGCATGTTTGAAGCAAAAGAGCATTTTTAATTAGTTATTTGTAGGTTTAAGATAAATGATAGCTATAGGTTTTCCTGAACAAATTGTTTTTTTTCTAAAAAATAAAAGAAGGAACTTGTGTGACAAAAGGAGTCATCGACGGGATTATTACTCTCTACTGAACAATAAGCAATAAACCTAAAAATTTCAAGATGCCCTATCTCCAGTTTTAAACTAATTGCACCTGTGCCCAAAATTCCAGCAGCCGCAGTAAGTTTAAGCTTCGAACGTACACGCAAAGTGGTACTAGTGGGGGGGGGGACCCCTCCCCTGAGTATTTCGAAAGATGAGGTATATTTTACTGAACACACAGGGAAAAGTGATAAAAAGGGAAGAGCACAATGTTGTAATGTTGTGGAAAAAAAGGCTATTGATGGCTTTGGGAAGCTTTGCGAAGAATTTGAAGAGAAAATTGTTTTTACTTCCTCTACCGAGTGGTAAAAATTTGGCACGGTCAAGACGTTCTTCATCTATCCGAAAAATCGCGAAAACTCTCAGGCAACAATATGCGATGTAGTAATTATTTTTATTACGACACTTTGTTATTGCTTTCTGAAGAAATAATGACAAATGCCCTTCAAAGGCCCGGAGGGAGAGCAATGAACGATACGTCAGTATAGATAAACTTAGGGTCAATCCAATGCATTGTTATGAAGTAACTAACATTTAGCTACACCAGTTAATAGGCCATTTCCGAGTTCCTCCGGGCCTCTGTATCAAAACGAGGTTAAGTGCTCAGCCTTTGATATGGAAATTACTTTTCATTCTCATACAAGTAAAACTCATCTTCACAAGAAAGGTTGAGCACTTGGCCTCATTTTGAAATTGAGGGTTTTAGGAATTCGGAAATGGCCTATTTAGCCAAAGAAGGGCATGTAGGATGAAATGGAATTCCCTAGAGAGGTCCAATGAGGTAATAGCATTTCTCTTCTTCATCCAAGTGTGTCTTTCAATCTTTTGGCTTTTAGGGAAAACATTGTAGCTACTGTAAAAAAAAAAAAAAACCGACTTAACCCACACGCAAGAATCACCCCACATACTTGCAAGTCAATTTGAATTTAAAACCTCCGATTCAAACACAGGCTAAGGTACAACTG